ATGTGTGTCTACGTGAAAGAACATGTGGAGAGAGTCGTATTGGCATTCGCATCAAGCGCATTGCGCATTTTTCGAATTTTGGCCCCCTTCCAGGGACCTTGATTTTTACCCGCTGGCACTGACGTCTTTTAATTGGTCAGCCGGTTAGCGCGGTCGATGCGAATAATAAAAACACACACAGTATGCAGCTATCCACACTCAACCCGTCCATGTGTCTGGCAATCTCAAACCTCACTCAACCCTTGGGGTTTCAGTATACAGCTATAATCACTCAACACGTCTATGTGTCCGGTAATCTCCTACATCACTCAACCTGTGAGGTTTCCGTTAGATATCCTCACTCCACGCATCCATGCGTCACGCGTCTTTGGTAGCGCATATTTTGGGGGCTATATTTGGGGTGACGTGTTTTGCAGCGCTTTGCCAACAGCGCCAACCCACTCAAGTCTAGGGGGGGGGGGTACTCATAGTCGTGCATGCCGTAGTCGTTAGACCATTGACCTCGCATCCCTACAAAGCCGGGACGGAGCACGCCGGGTTCTCACCGGACCAGGCTCTCACATCACCAAGCGCGAAGCGCCGTGAGATATTCGGCGAGTCGCATGAAGGGTGCGCTGCATCCTGCTAAGGGTGTTCGGCATCTTGTACTTGCTTGCGTGCGGATGACAGCTGCGAATGGCTTAATTTACTTTCTGGTGCTTTCACTTCCTGAGACAGTTGTTAGCACTGTGTAACTGCCTCGAGGGTGCTTGACCAATTTAACACAACGTGGTGCGATCATCCCCCTTGCGCGGAGTGAGGCTTCTCCACCCCGCACAACATGATCTACTCGACCACCATTCATGGTGACCGCCAAAAATAAAACAGGGACGAAAAAAAAACGGTAACATGGTTGCCGAGTTCACGAGGTGAAATGGCTTGTTTCACAACGTCGTTGCTAAGCGACGAAAACCCAATCCCGATGGCAAACAACGATGGGGGTGCTTGATATATAACGTCGTTGCCAAGCGACGAAAACCCAATCCCGATGGCAAACAACGATGGGGGTGCTTGATATATAACGTCGTTGCCAAGCGACGAAAACCCAATCCCGATGGCAAACAACGATGGGGGTGCTTGATATATAACGTCGTTGCCAAGCGACGAAAACCCAATCCCGATGGCAAACAACGATGGGGGTGCTTGATATATAACGTCGTTGCCAAGCGACGAAAACCCAATCCCGATGGCAAACAACGATGGGGGTGCTTGATATATAACGTCGTTGCCAAGCGACGAAAACCCAACCCCGATGGGAAAAACCGGGGGGGAGGTGGGTAGGGCAATAAAACAACAAAAGAATGAAAAAGGCCCCTTTACTGTGTGACCTTCCTCTTGTGCGACCCCGGCTGACACGTCAGGAACACGCCGAAGGACCTGTAAACCGGCGCCAGAATAGATGGGGGACGACCCCCCCCCTAGATTTCAGCCCACACCATCGTCGCACAGCATGCCTAAATGTCGCCGAGCATCCCGTCATTTCTTCCACAGCAAGTGGCCCTCCGAGAGTGCAATGTTGATCTAAATCGATCGAAGCGATTTGCCAGTTCCCATGACACCACATTGTTTTCAGAATTGCTCTTTCGCGCAAGCATCACCCGTTAGTCGCGAGCGTTCAACAGTCCCCTCTCGCTGTCCTCGGACGGCGCTAGGCACCGTCTCTACGACTTGCAGTCTGATCCTGTTTCCTAGATCGTCCCCGGAAATAAACCATTCAATCAGTCCCCCGACGGGCTTTGTGTACCCCACGGCAACCTTCACATTTCGCAACCAAGGCTCGCTCCAGTGCTATTGTATCCGTGAACGCTATTGTTCCACCTCCCTGACCCTGCTTCAGGGCCATGAAAAAAAGCCTAGGGGCCCCCCCCGCCGCGCGCCATCTCCACCGCAACGGCGCTGCCGGACACGTAGTGGGTGCCTCCCCCACACCTCCAGCCGTCGCCCTGACGAATCCACTGAAACCCGGCCGGGCACACGCCCATGCGCGCGAGGGCCGCCCTCGACGCCGCCTCCACGGCCAGCTGCCTCTCCCTCTCCTCTCTGGCCTTCTTCAGCGCGGTCTCCTTGGCGCGCCGGACCCGCGCGAGCGTGGCCAGCAGCTCCTCGTCCTCATCATCGCCCCCGGCCTCCCGGAGCGCCGCCTCCGCCTCCGCCAGCGCTCCCTCGGCCTCGGCGACGGGCCGCACCGCCGCGCCCGCCTCCTCCCGCCGGAGGCGAGACAGCCCGGCCCTGTCGGTGGCGATCTTCCGCAGAAAGGCCCGCGCCTGTTGCGGCGACAGGCCGATGCCTCGCTCGGCCCTGGGGAGAACGAGGGCCCGCCGAAGCCGTTCGCCGACCTCGCCGTCGCCGAGATCAGGGCTGTCGGGGGTTATTCCCGCGACCTCGCAGGCCTCTTGCAGGACGTATATGTCCTCCACGAACAGGAAGGGGTCGACATCTTCCTCGTGGTCCGTGTCCGTGTCCGTGTCGTCCCGCTCCTCGGCGGTACGGTTCGTACCGGCCACCTTCTTCGCGGTCGTCGTTTGGGGAGCTTGGCGCACCGGCGAGTTTCCGGTGCAAAACGCAACCTCGGGAACGGCGGCGGCGGCAGGATTCGTGTTGGTGGTGGTGCCGGCAATCCTGGCCATCTGCTGGAGGACGGCGGTCG